TTTCTCATGAATGATTCCTTTGTCAACAGTATTGGTGCTCGTCTTCAACAAGCATGTTTTGTTGTTACCCAACCTGATTCAGCAATACCTTTGACCTTCTCGCTGGTACATACCGGTACACATGACCTAGTTTACAGAGCTAAAAGTTACCATGACCGTGAATGACCTAATTCTAGAATTCATGTATATCATTCTTGTGTATATACTTCTTGATATTTTTTTTGGCTGTCATTAAATTCCCCAAATACTTATTTGTCAGTATTATACATAAAGGTCATTTTGCAATACAAAAGCAAATAAATGCAGTGTAATAAAAGTACATGCTCAAAGAAGATGCTATATTACGTAGGTGTCAGATGGTTGCATTCAAGTGCATTCTCCATACGTCTACTATTATTGAATGTTATCATGACAACTTTGAAACCTTTCGGCTGCTATTATATAAAATGAAATAAAAACATCATTTCGGCCCAGATTTTTAAAGTCAAAATTCTCATTTATACACAGGCTATCAGGGGTGGAAATAACTTTAAAATTGCTAGTGTACTCCGGTACAGTGGCACATGTAAAATCACTTGCCCTGATAAGTTTTCCACTATACCGTCCGTTTTCTTCTTGATTTTTTAAATAAACAACATTATTAACATTGGAAAGTCACTTGGACACCGGTACAGCATGATATACAAATTTGCTTGCCCGACAGAAAAAAACACTGGACTCGGACGTCGGGCAATGGGTTATTTCCACACCTGGCTATTACTTTGCTGATTCTGTTAATAGAGAAAGACAAAACACCAAATATAAAATATCACTGAATATTGCCACCATAAATCATAATAATTATTTTTTGGTAGCACATTTACTGTTATAGCTGATTATCTGTCACTGAACACTGAATGTTCAACACGTTGATCGATGCCTGATCAAACAAACATCAGTTCTTGATCAAAATATTTCAGCACAATTTTCCAGAATCATCTTAATATTTACATTGATGTACTCTTATAAGCTGACTTACCTCAATAAGGCAAAATATATCAGTTATAACATTTTCATCAAAATCCAAAATGTTGCATGCGTTTACCAATATTTCATGTTTTCTTCAACATATTTTTCAAGGAATCTTGCACATTAAACATGCTTTTATGCAATGTAGCAAAAATATTTTGCATTATAAGGACGCACGATAATATTCATTCTACCGTAGTCTTGACAATACATATAGAGTTCTTGTAACTAAAGTATTCATGTCATTTCTTCTGGATCACTAGTTTTGTAGGTCAGTATATAATGTATGTGTCTTCCAATATCATTCATGCAAATCTTGAACACTTGGTAAGACCTGGGTTTGACGTTGATTTACTAAAGTGTGTGTGTGTGTGGGGGGGGGGGGGCAGGGACCACCGTCAATAAACTGCTGGTATTATGAGGGTCCTGTAAAGTATTGAAATGTATGTTCAGATAGTTACTTCAGAGCCTCTACTGAATCAGTGGTCATGTGGACAGGTCATGACTGATGGGTGAAATTACAGACCCAGATAACTACCCTTGATGGGCTATCAGTTCGATCTCGGTATTTGTGCGTTTCTCCAAAGGCAATATTTGAGGTTTTCTGCATCCATTCTCTACATTTTTGTGTACTGAACACACATTTGTGTGATGAATAAAACCCTGTAGGACTGAATTTGTTTATATTAACCTGGAATCGTTTTTGTGTGAAATCAGAGCTCCAGATAAGATTTAGCTCATGTGGGTACTGTACCCAATGTATTTTTTTGGAGTGGGTATTATGAATGTTGAGTGGGTATTTCATTTTCCGTAACCCACTGCTTTCAAATATGTGCGTATTTCAGTCATTTTACTCAAGTACTATGTCATTGAGTAAGTTTACTAAGCAGGTATGTTCTGCCTTATGTCATACCTAATCAAAACCAACTTTAATATAATGGAAATGATTACATAAAAAATCACTCATCCTATACTGACAGTACAACACTTGTCTTATACTAACAGTACAACTTGATAGCAATCGATGTCTTTTCCATTACGACGCAAGCGATGTTTATAAATATATTCCGTACGCATTTGTTTTAAACTTTTTGCGTATCTAACATTTTAAATGCGTAATTGGTACGCAACAATTATTTTTCAATGCGTAATTGGATATTTTCTATGCATATTTTACCCGGATACCAAGCTTATCTGGGCCTCTACATAAACTACATACTTAATTCATCAACTAGTACGTAACTGGCATTAACTCAGCAAGACATAAGTGTAATGAATCTGAAATAAAAATTTATTAACATACAAGTGTTTATTAACAATCACATCTTGATACATGGCAGAAACAGATCTAGGCGCCTGTCGAACAAGGTCCTTGATATGAGTCAAGAACCTGTCAACAGAAAGTCTGTTTGGATCGACCTCATGGTTATGAATGTTGTTAGTGACTTAGTGGTGAGTCCTTCATTCATATTCAGTGTCACTCGGCAGTTGACACATCATCTCCAGTACACACTATTATTCTTTCGGTTCTTAACCCTAAACTTATAGTTGTCATAAATCAAATTTTGTCCACCCTGTGCATTATCAATGTACTGAACGTCAACTTGAGCATTAGCCATGATGATGAATGATGTAGTGGGGGTTCATTAATATATATATATACATGACTGGGACATTTGTTAGTGTTCACCAAGTTGTTCTGAAATGTGCTCCCCAATTTGTTCAGACTTGTGGTCACGGCGTCACCAGACTTACCTTGAAACAGACTATAACTAATCCCCCTTATTGTTCTAGGGGTGACTACATTTTGTTGTTTTAAGAAAAGTGGGTACAGTGGGGGTACACCATTTGTGTGTTTCTCCAAAGGCAGTGTGTACTGAACGCACATTTGTGTGATGAGTAAAACCCTGTAGGACTGAATATTTTTTATATAAACCTGGGATCGTTTTGTGTGAAATCAAGAGACATTCCCCATAGGGGCAGAAAGATCATGTGTATTGACTTTGCAATATTTACACATTTATCGTTTCTTAGTGATGATCAGTCAGTCTTTACAGTGCTTCATTGTTGATAAAAATATGAGTGAGTGAGTTTAGGTTTACGCCACTTTTAGCAATATTCCAGTGATATCACAGTAGGGGGCGCCAAAATGGGCTTCACACATTGTACCCATGCAGGTAATCGAACCCAGGCCTTCGGCATGACAAGCAAACACTTTTACTAATATGTTACCCCACTGCCCGAGAATATTATGAAGTGATGACATCTTATGACATCACACACTGATTACATCATCTTAACAACAGGCAGCCTTCAATTAAATTTTAGTGAAAGGATGACATTTTTCATCTCTCTTTCGGCACCAGTGAGTAATCTCACAAAAACAGATTATCAGGATTATTGTGACTGAATGTGGTAATTCTCTTGACAAAAGCTCAGGATTTACACCATTGAGTCACTCAGGTTATATAATGCGTAATTCCCTGAACCTTGTTGGTTAATGTCTATGTATGTTTTAGGTGATATCACAATGAAAGAGTATCACAATCCTTTGTATACCATTGTGACATCATCATATATATATATATATATATACTTGACAATTACATGACATCACTAAACTAACTGTTGCTTAAAGCTGGTCAACTTTCAGCTCACAGAAGTGTATAAAATGAAAAAGTTAGAGCAATGTATTTTTTCTAAATATACCTCAGTGCTTTGGATAGGTAGCATCATGGGGCGTTGTGGGTCAGGAGCAGAGGTTGTGAGACTGAGTGTGTGGTGTGTGTGTGTGTGCGTGCATGTGTGTGTGGGGGGGGGGGATGTATATGTGAAAGACGAAAATGGGGAAGCAAAATGTATCTCATTAATAATAATAATAATAATAATAATTGCATTTATATAGCGCATCATTCACTAATAAATGCTCTGTGCGCTTAAGATGGAAATTGACACTTGAAAAGAAATGTTTTGAGGCCAGTCTTAAAAGATGTTAGTGACTCGCTGGTTTTGAGTTCAAGCGGTAGCGCGTTCCACTTCATTGCTGCATTGAAAGCTAACCAATCTTTTGCCAAAGTTGGTTTTGATGTTAGACACTGTCACTAGCATTTGGGCGTTGGTGAGGAGGCTTTACTTTTTCTGCTTTTAAATGACAATGTAATGAATATATGTTTTTGAAATAAAACTCATTCCGAGTATGTACTTAAAATGTTTATTAATGCAAACATGTTCTCGTCACTATATCACTGGAATAATGCCGATGTGACGCAAAACCCAACCCAACTCAACTTTATCAGGGTGGGGACAGGGTGCAGCCAAGTGTTGATTATAGTTTTATCAAACCTGAACAGGTTAAAATTTTAAACATTTATTGAATGGTCATTTACTAGTGAGGGTGAGGGGTAGGGGCTTTGGGGAGAATGTCACATATTTGGTGTGTATGGGGGTGCTGTGCCTAAACGGAACATAAATGAGGGGTGGGGGAGGTGGAAGGGGGAATCTTCAGCAAAATATTACATAGACCCAAGAACGACCTTCCCGTCCACCCCAGGGCTAAAAGTCCCCCCAACCCAGTTATAAATTACCTGCCCCTTGTGAAGTCGAACATTGCATAACACGGTGTTTACTCTACCCGATAAACCCCTGTTTAACACACTCCGTTAACACAATTACACAGTATAACCTGCGCGACTTCATACTGTCAACACATTTCAGATGCATATTTCAAAGTTAGTGACTGAGAAACACAACCAGCGTAGCCAGAACTGAAAAACACGATGTACCCAGTTCTGTGACATACGCACCTAGATACGGGTCAGGTAAGACAAGACTTGATCTCAACCTCACCGTCAGCAAAATTGGGTCTGCGAGAACTTTCAAAAGGCGACTTTGTTAAACATACCGGCAAAACAGTTAAGACATTTCAATGGGTAGTATTAAGCGTGATAAGAGAATACTGTGAGTTGTTTTGCAAATCACACATAAATACTTACAAATATTACCCCGCCGCAAAAAGCTTCAAAGCCGTCGCTCTCGGCCATATCTGCGAAGTTCTGACATGAAGGCAGCTCCTTGGAGAGAGTTATCCCCCTTTGTTGTTACAATGACAAGGCACATTATTCCTTTAGATCTCGGTGAGGTGACAAATTTGAAACGAATGTTCTAGACATTTTATTGCAAAAATTAAAGACTTTAGTTTCATTTGTTGTGTTGTATTGTTATTTATGGTGCTGTTGTTTTTATTGAAGTTGTGAATAAAAAATATTAGCATGACAATTTATTTATTTATTTCACCATTGATATGTCGCGTTTAAAATGGTCATGTGTATTGACCGTAGTTATTTCAAGATGTTTTACTGTATTACGTGAGACCTCACCTAGGGTATGAGGTTTTCCTGTTTATAAGTAGGACCGAATTTGAAGTTTCATTTATTCTTGGTAGGATCCGATAAATAGAGAAGACGAAGTTTCTGGAAATAATGTATAGATAGTCCGAAATCAAAGCCAGCGTACGTTTTCTTTGTGGTTGACCTAGGTCACGCTCTCGTCTAGACTGACCAGCAATCAGACAATGTGACGATAGACCACAGGGGGGAACAGCGGTATGCGGTTCACTTACAGTTACCGTTATGTTTACCGGTTTAACTTTTGGTATATTTTACGGGCGTTGCTTTAGGCTTATGTAACTCAATTTCATATGTTGTATAAAACATGATAAGAAAAAACTATATATTAATACGTTGCCTCGTTTTTTTGCTGACACAGCAAAACGCAAGGGAAGCGTTGACCTCATTAAGCAAGATAGCGTTATGTATATAATATATATTATATACCTGAAATACTGGTAAAGGCGTTGAGCCACACTCACTCACTCAAAAGCCGATGTGCTATTTGAGTGAGTGAGTGAGTTTAGTTTTACGCCGCACTCAGCAATATTCCAGCTATATGGCGGCGGTCTATAAATAATCGAATCTGGACCTGACAATCCAGTGATCAACAGCATGAGCATCGATCTGCGCAATTGGGAACCGATGACATGTGTCAACCAAGTCAGCGAGTCTGACCACCCGATCCCGTTAGTCGCCTCTTACGAAAAGCATGGGTTACTGAAGATCAATATTCTAACTTGGACCTTCACGGGTATGTGTTATTTGAATATTATTAAATATTACTATTGATTTTTTAATTACTAGTAATTGTTAAGGTTAGTTGACTTGGATGATGCATGTCATCGTATCGTTACTCATATAATAAATAATAAACAACAGACGTCATATCTTTGAAAATTAGAAAATGCCTTTACGGCTCTAATGTACAACATTTCAAACACGGCAGGGGTCATTCGGTTGAGTTTCATTGCTTTCCCCAGTCTACATTTAAATGAAAAAAAAATCACACAAATTACCCAGCCACATATTACATTTTACAAACTATTGTAGGAATCATTGTTGGATGAATAGACATTTTCAGTTTTCAATTACACACAAAAACGAACACGGATTGTTTTTGTCTTCATCAGTTTATAAAATTGTCAAAACAAACTACAAAGACATCAATCATCAGCGAGTTCATATTTATTATTAAGATTGTGAAAATGTTTGTACAGACCGTTTTGTTAAATGAAAACAGGGGCGGTGGGGTAGCCTAGTGGTTAAAGCGTTTGCTCCTCACACGGAAGACGTTCAATTCCCCATGACGTACAATGTGTGAAGTCCATTTCAGGTGTTCCCGTTGTGATGTTGCTGGAACATTGCTAAAAGCGGCATAAAACTATAGACACTCACTCATTCAAATGTAAACTGCAAAAATAAATAGTATTTCGAGCGCTGCATCCTACCTGGATTTCAGCTAGTTAAATGTAATCAATGGTAGAATCAAATGAAAGTTATATATAACACAAGAAAATTCAAGCGTTCCTTTAATATTTCCCATTTTTACATCACAAGTTTGAATAGCGCTGTGGGAGGAAATCTGAGAATAAACAAAGGAACACTGCCATGAAGCGGTGTTCCCTTATTTGTTTCCCTCAGTATATTAACAGTTTCTGAGCTGTAAATGTTGAAATTCCAAATCTGAAAAGGCGCTCAGTGGTATTTTCACCTGCTCAACTTTGGGGGAGATACTGTCACATAGCTACGTTTAGGTATAAGTTACAAAATGTGGATACAGATTTACATAACTTAATAGTTAGGGGTGGGTATTGTAGAGAATTTTCATATTGCCATATATTGCGATGCAAAGCATGTATTGCGATATGTATTGCAATATATTGCATGAAGTATTTTAAAACTAAATCCTACTTATAAACGGAGTTACTTCTTGATTTATAGAGCAAAAACACAACAAAATCACTAGGCTTGATTAAGCTTTAATAACAACTTTTAATCACGATAAAATAAAAATATGAATAATATTTGGCACAAATGAAACAAGGACATATCCGAAGATTACCGAGTGTTACGAAGTTTTCCGAATGCAAGTCAAAATACCGGTTTTCGATCAGCGTATCGCAATACGTATCGTTTTCATGTCTGAACCGGTAAATACTGGTAAACCGGTTATATTGCGCAGCCCTATTAATAGTGAGTGAGTGAGTTAAAGTTCAACGTCGTATCATCTCTATTTCAGCCATATGTAAACATATACACAAATCCATTATTAACACAACGTCGCACTCGAAAGCAATTTATACACACATGCTGGCTACATAACTTATAAGCTAGACTTACGCCTAGTCTCTGGATATATATTATTTTGATAGTAACAAATAATTCTATTTTAATTGAAAAGGTGCCTCAGTGAGATAGGAGATTCAGAACCTGAACCTGTGGAAATCTAGACTTGCTTTATTTAGGGCTTTAGCACCGCAGGGAGGGCTTGGCAGTAGGGGAAGTAATGTAGTTCAGGGACTGCAAGACAGACCACTTATACGCATAAATACATGTACAGTTTAAAGTTGATCACTTAATTAAATCGTTGTCTTCTAGTACAGTTAGCGCACTGACGTCACACAATAAAACATATTACAACAGAATTAAGGGTCAGCTTGACCTTCCGACCTTTGTGACGCTGTTCGCCATTTGTCATTGCTGACTGACGCCCCAAGCGATTGTCAGCTTCATTATAAATTAAATAACCATACGTCTCCATCAAGTTAAAGTCACTCATGTCCATTCAAATGAAACTAGAATATTCATTGCATGTATTGCTCAATCTGGATTCAGTCTGTCACATTCCAATGGCAATCAATCTGTCTTATCCCCATAAAGATCCAGGGCCTAGATTTTCTAAGCTCTCTTAGCCCTAAGATAGTCATAAGTTAATGTTAATGTATGGCACTTACGACTATCTTAGCGCTAAGAGGGCTTCGAAAATATGGACCCAGGTTATGTGGCCTTCAGTAACCCATGCTTGTCGTAAGAGGCGACTAACGGGATCGGGAGGTCACTCGCTGACTTGGTTGACACATGTCATCTGTTCCCAATTGCGTAAATCGTTGCTCGTGATGTTGATCACCGGATTGTCTTGTCCATATTTGATTATTTACAGACCGTCGCCACATAACGGGAATATTGCTGAGTGCGGCGTTAAAATTAATAACAAACAAACAAACAAACAACACTGCTGCCCTAGTGTTGTTCAAGTTTATCATCACGTATGCTTGTACTCCACGGACTGCCGCGATAGAGACTAACTGAACTTAGGACTGTCCTTCCCGGTTCGCCGGTTACACTCTTGATCGAAGCTCAGGCAAATTGTAGTGCAAATAGGGTTGCGCAACAAAGAGAAAATGACCAGTCTTTACATATCTTTGTTCGCATATGGGAAGACTGGTCATTTTCTCTTTGTTGCGCAACCCTGTTTGAGCTACAATTTGCCTGTGATCGAAGCCAACTATAGTTTGGCATGAAATGCATGTGGACCCGGTTTTTTTTGTAAATATCTCTTCATCCAATGACCTAATCGATCTCAAACTGTGCAAGTGGATGTTTTGTCAGACAACCTAATCACATTGTAAATCACCGATTTTATGCATTTGAATTAAAGAATCTGTCTATGTAACTGTCAACAAAATAAACAGCAGAACGCAGACTGCTTGCAGAGGGAGGGAGCCAATGACCTGTAACAGCGGCAGTGTTGGGTCATAAAGGTAAATGCACGTGCAGTTCATGATAGTTACCTGTGCACTGCACAGTGATATACCGTTTGGATCATTCACATTGACTACTTCTAGCTGTCATCACGAAAGCTTATTCAGATGATGCTAAACGTTTAATTAGAAATGTATTGAATTTTTTAAAAAAAGAGAGCAACCGTAGCAAACCGATTTATAAAGTGTCGGATTACATGAAACGTACAACTTTTGCTCTTGGCATGAAGAAGAACATCGTGCTAAAAATTGTGAACAATAAACCAACAACCAATAAACAAAACCTTGTACAAAAAGGTAGGCATCCAAAGTTAGATTCTTTTGACATCAGGGTCATCAGAGATGTCATTCGCCGGCTATTTGCTAGAAATGAACACCTGTCCACAAGAAAGTTAAAACACATCCTTGCAGAGGATCACGACATTAATGTTTCTAGGTTTATGCTAAGCAAACTACTGCTCAAATTTGATACAAGTACAAGAAGGTAGCAAAACCAGAAACTTGTAATGTGTGAGAGATCTGATATTGTGAAAATAAGGTGTAACTATCTGAGAGAAATTAAGCAGGCAAGAGACGATGGGTTCGAACCTATATATCTGGATGAGACCTGCGTCAATGCAAACCATACTGCTGCCAGACAGTGGCTACCCACTGATCCCAGTGATGGTAGGAAAATACCAACAGGCAAAGGTGAACGTTTAATCGTTCTTCATGCTGGTTCCCACCGTGGATTCCTACCTGGGTGTGATCTGGTATTTCGGTCAAAGAGCACAGATGGTAGGGACTATCATACAGAAATGAACTCAACGGTTTTCACACAGTATGTTGAGGAACAATTGTTGCCAGCTCTGCCTTACAAAAGTCTTGTTGTCATGGACAATGCTCCCTGTCACAGTGTTCGAGATCCAAAC